CTACAAAAGTGGACAAGAGCTACTGGAACTGTATTCTAGGCTGTCATTTTTGTTGAGGTCACATGACAGTAAGTTTGCATATTCCACAAGTCTACTGAATTACAATATTGTCTATCTATAGTACATTATCTCATTGTAGTTAGAGCTGGTGCTAACTGTAATTGTACAACATAGACCCACTCAAAAACATCACAACTATTTTTTTCTTTGGACAGGAATAAGCTATATTCTTGGAGTTGATGTGCTACAAGGCTACAACAATATAACAGTATATATCTGACACTTTATGTTGAAGAAAGGTGCATCAGTTTCCGTACTTGTAATGCCCTACTATAGCTACAAATTGTTCATCAAGTTTTACTTGCTTTAGCCTTTTTATTTTGTGGAACTATTGTATTTTTTACATTCCCTTGCTTTTTTGTAAATCCTTGCCATGTAGCTCAGTATTGTCAGTATTTGTCCCAAACCTGCAGATCATTAACAGCACGTGCAAGACACTCTTGAATACAAACAGCATGCAGCGAGAACACGTATTAACTGACTTTTTTCTAAACATGAACAATAAACAAGACAAGTGGCACTGTTGACTTTGGATACCTTCTAACTTCACTGTATGTGTACTGGTATGTGCTAAGAAGGAATGCTCGGCTTCTCGTCTCTTTGTGGCACCATATGAATTAACCCATCATTGGTCCAGTCTCTGCAGTACTGCTGCCAATTACCCACACGCAGCTTTCTTCTTACATAGGTTCACAGAGGGCAACTTCATTCATAGACATAATCTCAATACAAAAATAATAACCTATATTTTATGAAGCAGCCCCCTAGCAGGATTGCAGAAAGGTGTGTGTGGGAAACCTGGGAGGCAACTGTAATCAGAATAACAAAATTTTGCAGGCTGCAAAGCTCAAAGTAACCAATCTTAGTTTTTAGTCCACATGGTATTTGGTAAAAGCGTCTACAGCTTAGAAAAAGTAGGACAGTATATTACAGATGTGAGAGCATGAAAAAAAAGTCTGCTATTTCAAAATAATGACTAGATGGCCACGCTGAAAACTTACAAAAAATGAAGACGGTAAAATGGCAAATTATATTGCTCCTAGGGATTTTTGAGCTGCACTGATTCATGTCAGGTTTGGGACAATACCCTGTAGAAATAGTTAAATTCTCATTCGAAAGCCCAAATTTCTATGTCTTGAATAACGAAGTCCTCTCGCTTAGAAAGTGTATGATTCCCAAATGTTTTACATGAATGACTTCTTCCGTGGTAGAGATCACCATCAAGCCAAAGAGCAAACTCCCCTCTGCAAGACAGACAATGTATTAAAGCAAAAGACTGAGGGATTAACCATTAAACTTATGAATGTATTTTTCATTCAGAATTCAGGAACAAGGAAGAATTACAAAATGCTTTTTCAACACAAGTATCTCAGGAGCTGTTGATAAATTTGAAGCTGCAAAGATTTTTTTCTTGCTTTTATAATGTATTATTAATTTGGGAATACTCCTTTTTCGAATATTCTGAAATAAAAATCTAACCAGAACTCCTCAGTTTTCAGCCCCTTCTATTTATATTAAGAAAAAGGCATAAGAGTATGCCTTGGGATGGTACAGCTTCAATTCAAGCCCCTTCTAGTCAAGACATAATTTTCACATTTACATACCTTCAGAATCAAACTACCCTGTGTCCATTCTGAATATCCCAAGACACACTTAAGCAGAGCACGTAAAGCATCATAACCTTGCAGGGCTGAACCTTGATGCTGCACTAAGCTGAAGACAAAGTTTCTGTTTAAGTCGCCTGATCATAGGAAGCTAAACATCTGACATACTAAATCTTTCATGGCTGGGAACTCTTTGAGTTTGGAGCTATCAAACTGAAGTAAATTCCAAATTTTCTTTTCAAAGGTGTGCAGACAGACACTTTTAACAGTCTAATAACAAAATGAAATCATAACTCACCCTCCTCCTCCAAACGCAAGGGAGTCCATGTCTCCTTTAATGAAGAACATGTTGTCTCCTGTCCATTTGAAAACCTAATAAAAAGAAAAATCAAAACAGATTAGTAAGTTAAAATATTTTAACTCTTTGTTTAAGTGAAAGGGAAACCAAACACCAGTAAAAACAGATTTTGGGTGGCTAGAGGCCAATCCAATCTAGTTACCAAGCTTACAAGGAAAATTCAGAGAATGCAGACAAAAGTTCTCTTGCGTTTCATGCAATTTAAAATAAGACCATTCAAAAAATGTGTAGTCTTTGAGCACTGAAATTCTACATAATGAAAAATACCGAGAAAATATATATAGGTTGGATGATATGACCTACAAAAGGATATAGTTTGGGAATTTTCAGACACCTGGCAGAATTTAGAGTTGTACAAAAATCTTCAGTACAATGAAAGAGTCAAGTTGAATACATTTTTCACTATGCAAAAACTAACAATTTACACATTGCACTAGTGCAATGTGCACATAGTGAGAACATGCACATAGAATGTGCACTTACACATTCTATGGAAAAACTAGTATAACATTTTTTGGGCCAGCTGCTAGAATTGTCCAGATTATTTACTCTTAGGTTTGTTCAGTAATTATTTTAGGATAATGCATATAGCGGGGCAGGAGGAAGTAAAAGCATACCAAGTTGTAACTACTTACCTCAAAATCTGGAGAAAAAGTGAACATAAATGTCTCCCCAGTGCCATAAAAGCCATCACTCACTTTAAAAGGTTCAGATGCCAGTGCACCAAAAACCTGTAAGCAAAAATACGCAAGAGAACATGCTTAAAAACTACACAGCATCTGAGAATCTCTGATGAAAGCAGCCAATAAACAAATCTGGTCATTCCAACCCAAATAACAGGTAAACACACTGGTTACCCCATCTTACAACAGAGAGAGATTCTAAACAAGCCTTTGCTGGGTAGTAAAAGTATTTCTAGTATTCAGTAATAAGAACATTACAACAGCAGTTAAAATGGTCTAAGGACCGATTATAAGATTTATAAATCTGGTTAAAGTAGTATCGATAAAAACACCCTACATAATTATACAAAGTACTATACACTATACCCCAATGAAGTACAACCCTCCTAAAAATCAGTATTTCTGTTGCTAGTAGAAAGCTTGTTTAAACATCTCCAAAAGCAGATCAGATATAAGTACCAAAGCACTCCACTACCACTCTCATCTTTCTGAATTTAAAAAGAAATTTCTGTGGTTTAGTTCACATTAAGCAGTGAGTTCAAGAAGCATGAGACTGCTGAAAGCGAGACATTAAAGCTAGTGTCCTGACTTGGGTTATGCTCGGTATATAAAGTAGAAACTATTATTTTCTCCTGCCCATCCCAAGAAACTCTTGGCCACAGGTAGGTTTTCCAAGCATTCTTTTTCATGTTGAGCTCTATAGTAGCTGTTAACAAATGCAAAACTAGGTGAGCATGAACTTCTGATCAGGAACTCAAGGATTATATACCACTATCAAGCATCTAATAAAGTCTGCCCCAGCTCAATTTTGGGTTACCAGTTCAGAAAAACCACTATTAGAAAATTCCTTACTTCTCAGGAATTTTATATGGTCCAGAAAGTTTCTTGTTCAGAAACTTCTCATTGAAACAGAAGACAGCAAGACTGAAAGAAGAGCCATATAAAGGAAGATGTGCTAATTATGAAACAGAACACCATCCTGACTTCAATGCACAGTCTTCCAATGACTGGTTACGAGAAAAAAAAAAAGCTCATCTTCTAAAGAATATCAGACATAATTGTCTTCAAATATCCTGATAATGCACATCAGACGGTGATGTCAGTCTAACAGATCAATCAAACCAACAGCAGATGTTCTGAAATCTTTTTGCTGAATTCATGCACTTATCTCTTGCAATAAACACCCCCTCCTCCCCCCATCAAAATTTTGATAATGCATGCACAACAGTATTTCCTAGAAATGTAGTACATCAGAGGACTGCTTGATAGTGAAACATGTTTTTAAAAGCCTCCACATAACTACCAGGGGGAAAACCAGCTTGATACGTGCAATCTTATCTCCCATGATGGACTGAAATGACAGCTATTTCTTTATACTCCTCAAAGACTTTTTTGATGGCTCCCCTACCTCCATGCAAACATTTTCCTACCTGTCCATCGCTGTCTTTGATCACCAACAGCACAGGTGTGTCTAATCCCAGCATAGTTCGATACAAAGTCTTCAAGCTCATGCCATGCTTTGCAGTACTGTAGACAAGAGTCCATGGATACCCGATGGTCCGTGGTGGAAGAGACTTTGTGAGCTGTTAACAAGATGATAACCACCCTCTTTATTTAATACATTTTTTTACTATTTTTAAGAATATATTAAGAATGATTGTGTTCTTCTGAACCTCAAATGGCCTTAAAAACTAGTTTAAAACTTCCGACCAATCCTGAAGTTTCACATGTATTTTTTTTATCCCTGGTTTCTCAAACAGGTTTCTTTTCCTAGCTCTAGGAAGAAGAGCAGAAGAATGGTTTGCCAACTGAAGAACACACATTTTGTCTCTAAAAGGTTTATCCAAAGACAGTAAAAACACAGTTATTCTTGCATAACAATACAATGTCTCAGTACTAGGGAACTAGAGCACTCAAGTCAAATAGCATTTGTGATACATTAATGTACAAATACTAAAAAAAAAATGACATAAATAAATAAGTGAATACCTTTTCAATTTGTTCTGGCTGTAGTAATTCACTGGGATCACTAAGATTTGGTCGAAATGCTTCAGGCTCCAGGTCTGTTTTGATATTTGTTGCCTGTTTTGAATTGATGTCTTCTCTTGTTGTTATCTACAAAAAGAAGAAGAAGAAGATAAGTATTTGAAATCCTATTAGCGGGGAAGACCAACTTTGCAGGTTTAAAATCATGCAGTTACTGATTTACAGTCACGCAACTCCTTCAAAAGTTAGAAAATGCATTACAGTCGATTTGACCAAGATTTCCACTGCTTCCAACAGCAAGCCGGTACTCAACCATCTACTAACAATGATTCACACAGATACCTACTGAGAAGCAAGTTACGGTTTTATGCTAAAGAAACTCACCAAAATGAGTCCTCATACACAGCTGTAGGACTTCAAATGCTTTTCAGAGGTCAGCTTACACAGTGCTTGCATTTTAATACCAACTTAGTGTTTACATTAAATGTAATTAAAAAACTCAGACAGAAAAGGAACAAAATTCAACATGAACATTTGTCAGTAGTTTCTGAACCAATACTCTTTTAGCGTACTTGTGAAAGTTTCCAGACATGCAGTAGACATGTGGAAAGACTGCTATCAAGTATTTTAAGTAAAGCACCTGAATGGAGCCCTAGGAATATTGCTGCTCCATAAGCTGATCTGCTGCACTACTTATGGGAATCAAAGAAGCAGGAATTGAGAGGGTAGGGAGGGGAAAGCAGCAGTAATACTTCTGCTTCATAGAAAGCTCTCGGGTCTGACAAAGCTGCATTATGTATGAAGACCCTGTAGTAGTTTAAAATAACTGCCCCATATATCTACTCTAAAGAGTTGCTGTAGATCACCATTCAGTGGAGGAGACAGAAGGCCACAAAAATCATCCACAGTTCACAACAGCTTCTTACCCCAGTCCATATTCCTTGGCACTTTCAAGCTAAAGTGCCACCTGTTGAGAACTAGACTGGCTGAGACCCAAACAAGTGTCCTTCTATAAGCCTTGCTGCAGGGATAGTTAGAAATTGCTGTGAGGATAGTGAAATCTGACAGAGGATTAGGACACAGTGAAGGAAGGGAGGTGGTAGCTTAAGCCACTGCTGCAAGACTTATTCAAATGTTAAGAGATTTGCAAAAGAAAAAAAAATATTAACAAGAATGAGTGCATCTGAATAATTTATCAGCCTGAGCTTTTCACTGAAAGTCAGACAGTCCAAATTATTTGAAAGTCTGAATCCTGAGAACTTCAAGAAAATACCTGTCCAAAACACCTGCCAACTCCAGAATATTAACCAGCATTTGCTACAAGCCTCATACTCCAAATATACAGGACACAACTATGGTATTTCACCTACCACTGCAATAAACTTTGTCGAGGTTTTGCAGAGAAAGCTTTCTTAGTTATCAAAAGCAAAGCCAAATCTAAGAAAACTCTGAAATACAGATAAGATGATTTAAACAAATATAGCCACCTGAGCCAAAAGAAAAGATTTCCCTTTCGTCTCCATCAAAACAATGAAAAGAGTTACTATCACAAACTCCTGTCACTTAATAATATGCTTATAAGGTAGAAGTATCCAAATATATCCATTCAATAGCTTAATTACAATATTAAGTCTTAATTCAAGAAAGGGTGCACTTAAAGAACGTGAGTATCAAAGTAAGCAAAAATTTCCATTTTTCAGTGGAAGGTAACAAGCATTTCCAATGTAAACTATGCACTAATTTCAATATCACAACAAAAAAGTATATGCATTTATCCATACAGCTTCATGGACAAAAAGATGACTTACAGAGTACTATCGATAGAGCATGCAATTTGGTAATTCAACTCTTTTCTACCTTAAATGCCTTTCATGCATCATATACTTCTGCTTCAACTCCATAAAAATACAGCATTCTTCAAGTGTAACAGCAGAAAGCTTATTCCCTTCATTATTCTTTAATTCTGATTAAAGTGCACCATACAAAACATGAATAATTTGGGTTGCAGTGGTGTGTGAGTGTGGGTTATGTTTTTGTGTTGCTGTTTGGATTTTTTGCCTTTTTATTTATTAATGTTAAAGTAAGCAACTTTCTTCTAAGAACACCACTACCTTGCAGAAGTGGACAAAGACATTCAGAGGTACCTGTCTGACAGAACACGGTGTATTTTCAAATCTTGCAAATTTATTTCCTATTTAACTCTGACAGAGCAGATTGATGTGGTCGGACTCCAGGAGCCTCTGAGATTAGTAAGTGCCATGTAGTCTACATCACAAACACTTAAATGGCCTCAGAGCAGAGAGTTTCTAGGCTCCATCACATCAGATTTTTCAGGTCAGCCTAAACCTTGAGTTTGGGCATTCCAGGTGAAAAGCATTTTGAAAGAGCTCCTGCACTTCCAGGATACGAATACAAGGATTCTCCATTGCCCCTCACCAGAAACAGAATCGTTCTGTTCTCAGGTGGGAATGAAATTTTTTTTTGCAAAATTTCTGATTTTCCGATGGAAGCAGAACTGCAGCTTTTGGGTCTGTGCTCATTATTGATTTATGTAACTGTACCACTTATAAAACATTTCAAGGCAAATAATTACTGATTGCTATATAAACAGAATTAAAAAGGTAATAAAACGTTTTCTTAGGTGTAATTACACAATAGGTGAAAAAAAGCCAAGATCAAAGTAAAAAAGAAACAGAACTGAAACTTTTTACAGTTTCAGCAGCCAATTACTACAGGAAAACAAAATATTCAATGCCTGTAAGAAGTTCTAAGTCATGCTTTCCATCAGTGAGTTATGTATGATGTACACAGCAGCTCACCATTTTATGATTATCAAAGAACTAAGAAACACCAAAAGAGAATGCAAATATCAGTTGGAGCCCATACCAGTAAATCTTCAAAAATCCAACCTGAAGTACTGTTTTTGAAGTAGCATTTTTGGAACAGACAGTTCCATTACCAACTCCACGTGTATGACCTTTGCCACATCCAACAGCCTCAGTTACCTGCTTGCACAACGGGAAAAATACTTACCTATTCCACAGAGGCTGTGAAGCTTCATATTGCCAAGTACTGTGAGATTCTTGAGGAAAGATTCCTATATAAAATTAAACACCCATGCAGCAGCAAGGTTTTGCATTCTTCGCTTGGTTTGCATTCTTTTTAGGAAAGTTTCTATCTAACACAACACACCAGTCTAAAGTGGAAGTCAAAACACATCACTCCAAGTTAAGCAGTACTGAGAACAAATTTTGAAATTCTGACAGAAAATTCCTGTTTGAAAAAGTTGGAAGTAATATTTCCATCATGAAATTACTGATTCCATCATAGCATTATACACTTAAATACATCCAAAACAAAGGAATTTTCTGCTGGATCCTTGTAGTGCTGTAGACAAGACAAACCCACTGAGCGTGGGACTTGCCCTGATCAAAGACACTACAAAGAAAGATGTTTTAGTATCTGGAGATGGGGTTTAAACTACGTGAAGAGGGCACCTGGAGACGTCTGCAGAGTGTGCGCAGTTCTTCGCTATTTAGAGCATCGATCCTGCGGTGATACTCAGCCACTGACACTACCTGAATATGGAGACAGGAAGACAATAATTCCACTGACAGTTGAAGAAAAGTAAAAAGGTAAGAAAGAAAAAAGTGGAGGAGAGCAATGAAGGGAGAGTGCGCAATGATAACAAACACACGAGAAGTGCTAAAAGATGTGTGTTTTTGCAAGGACAATGCACATGTAGGTGATTTTACACATATGAGTAGACACAGCAGAATTACAAATTAAACACTAATGGCACTAGCAGTCAGATACACCTCACTGCTCTAGGATTAATAAAGAGACGATATAAAAGTGTATAAAGTTACCAGTACCAGGATGCTAAACAATCTGAGTTACATGCCTTAACCCAAAGTCTTCAGCCCAAAGTCCTCTCAAGCACTCTTTACACCCAGATTAAAGAATCCTATGAACCTTGTTTGCTTTCCTGGAGAAAGACTGGAAGCAAACCTCAGGCTTCTCAGTAGGTTCTGACTCTTCTGTCTGGCAGTAGAGATACAGTTAAAGACAAGGTAGCAGGACTAAAGTTTAATAACTTCAATACCACCTGACAATTATCTTTATCCTGGACTTTCTATTCACCTCCAAAGCTTCAGGAGCTGCTCATCTGTCAACACATTCACTCCAAATGGCACCTCCACTTTGGCAGAAGGTGTGCAGCCAGAAAGCCTTTGGTCAGAAAGCTCTAGAACATGCTGCTCTGGTGCAACAAGCTGGCTGAAGGACTACAACAGTCATTTTGATGTAACTACAGCAAGTAATGTGATTTTGAGGGCAAGTCAAAATCATCATTTGTATGAAAGCATCTTAAAACAGCTGGCGGAGGGATTAAATGGATGCCCCATGTAGTAAGAGAGCATTAAAAACTTCTAGAGCCTACCCCAGTGCAAAGGAAGATAACCACAAGTCCAGCAGCTCCCCATCTACCTGCCCCTACTACAAGGAGTTTGGCCAGATACTCGCCACTGTCCTGAGTACAGAGCCCACAGTCACGCATGACTGGCTCTTGAGCAGCGATGGTTCACTCTACCCCATGCAACTGCAAGGCAAGGAAAAAGGAACACTTGTGACATCCAGTTTTACTGCTGAATAATCAGTACTTGCTAGCACTTAATTTATTTCCACCATTTTCTACTGTTCTCTTAAAAATATCAAGAAAATAATTGTAAATTGTATTGGTTTCTGCATTCTCAGGGTCAAGTAGCTATATGCAAAGCTTTAACAGTATTCCACTCAAGCATATAAAAGACAGCATAGTTTTATCCTTTTATTTGCTATGACAGTTCATTGCAAATTACATGATTCACACCAGCACCTCATGAATGTAGACCTGAAAAGCAATAATGTGAAGATCTTTAGCACTGTTACTTCTTTAAGTAACAGCCCCTATCACGTGGGAGGAAGTCGTTAAGTTACAATAGGCCAGAAATGGGACATTACTTAGGGAGATTCTTGGGGGAAAAACAAAACAAAACAAAACAAAACAAAACAAAAAACCCAACTCATAATCCCTGCCACTATTATATGGTTGCTGTTTCATATACTGGAACGTGGACAATTTTATAGGCCGTGCCTTCAACCTGTCAAACACAACTCCATCACCATTCTGCACCTGGGAACTGCTTATTACCCTTTTGCTCCGTGATCAAGATCTGACACACCTTTACCTTTGCCATGGGTGTGCCTGCATTCTCAGAACAGTGCCCACAAGGTATTTGATAAATTTCTTACCACAGGGGAACAAATATTTATTTAAGCTACATAATAATAGCTCCTTGGCATCCTGGACCTGTTGCACATCATCACAGTACATCTGTTCTGTGAACAAAAGCCTGCATAGTGGCAGACAACTGGTATGCAATGACAAATATCATAAATAGCATGTCACAGATTGTCAAACCATCAACAGGAAAACTGAGGGCAAAGAATCCACCCTCTCAAACCCAGTGCTTATTTTCAGTATACAGTTCATACTACATTCTGTGAGTAAACCACAAGACAAATTGTCTCAAGGTTATCCATTCATCACCAAACTAGGCTTTAAATGAGTACATTAAGGTAACTCAACAGTTCAGCTTACCAAACTCGACATGCTATAAAATGCTTACGGTTTATGTCAACATTCTTTATTTTTGCTTAGCAGCGGACAAGATTATGTACTTCAGGATTCTATAGCTCATTTAGTCATGAAGTCATGCATATCTAAGCCTACTGGCAACTAACTTTTATGACTTCGTTCAGGAACTGATTGAGATATATCTTAAAAACAGCTAGCATTTCACTCCTGCAAGGACTGAGAGGACTGTTTTGAAATATTAGTATCATTAGTTAGATGTTTATTCTGTTTTATAACCTGACTTAATTTACAGTCGGCTTATGCTGTTTCCTCTTCCATAATGAATTCTTCATTTTCCTTTCTTTTGTAGTTATATTAATCCTCTATTCTGTTTCACCAAACTAAATAAACCAGTGATTTTTTTCCCCTTCCCCTTGTCTTTTCTGCTCCTTTTTACCCCATTCCACTTTAAACTTTCATTCTTAAACATAGAACTTCATTAGTTCACATGGTATTAGAAATAACTGGAAAGCAAGGTTTTTCATTTGTGAAAGACAAATGCACTTCTATATGCATCATTACTGGACTGTGTTTTTCAGTATAGAATGTTTCTTTGTAATAAAATTATTTAATTTTTGGGTAGGTAGTAGTGGATGTCATTTATCCATATTTCACCAAGGCTTTCGATTCTGTCCTACAGTAGCCTTGCGCATCAAATGCATGAAGAACAAGGCTGAAAAACTGGCTGGACCACTGGGCTCAGTGGGTTGACATCTGGATGGTTAAGGACAGGAACAGGCTTCCCAGGGAGGCTGCAGAATCTCCAATCCTGGAGACTTTCAAAGTTTCACTGAGCAAGATCCTGAGCCAACTTAGACAAGTTCTTACATTTAAGCCCTTGAAGTACAGGACAAGGCTTTCCAAATTCCAGTATGATCCACGTTCTTACACAGAAATTGCCCAGAATTGTAGTGATCTAGGTATTCGGCCCAGGATTAAATTGCAGGCCTACCTATATGAGTTTGCCGTGTGCTTTATTTACCGCTCTCTTCTCACTATGCCACATCAACATCCAGCTTCCCTGATACACAAAGCTACTTTTTGAGGATCAGGAAGTGTTCCTGAAGGACCCTCTGTTTTCTCTCCAGTTATTTTCTGCTTCAAAAAGAATGCAGGAGGGGAGAACAACAGCTAAACCTCTTATGGTTAATCTGGACATTGGCTGGAATAGACTGAAACAAATAATGCGTGTAGCCAGGAGATTAGCGTGCTTCAGGGCAAAAATGACTGCTTCGAGACTTGAAAAAATTTACCACAGGACAACTCCAAGGGCTAATCAAGTTTGAAATGACATGGGGTAAATCCTTAGAGATGTAATAGCACCTGCTCTATTCATAACAACAACACTGATGAGAAAACATGGGATGAGTTGTATGACTCAAGCCTTTCAGCTTGACTCTCCATACCTTATGTATTTGAGTTAATCACCTAGCAGAACACACAACAGTTTAAATACTTAATGCAGTAAATTAAATTGAGAGTTCTGAGTACCAATGATTCAACCAATCAAGTGGCTTAGGATTCTCTTTTTGGAGAAATCTTGCTTTTCTGAAAGTATGCCAGAGTACCAAACTCTTGCAAGCTATACTGGCATATGCAGTGAGCAAAACAGAGATCAAAATTCCTAATATAACTATATTTAACTTTTTTGTGTTAAACTATAAGACTACAACCTATAACTTTTTTGTGCTTCATCAATACACATATTGCAGTTACAATTGCTTGAATATCCATGAAGGACAGTTTGCCACACAGATGGTGGCACATGAGCCCTTTTGGCCACTGGTCAGATCAATCTGCCATTCGCAGCTGTAAACAGGAAAACTGCTTACACCAGTGAGGCATTCCTCTGCCAGTTCAACACAGCCACCAACACACACCCCCAGTGCATGCTTGCTGAGAGGGTGGTGTAATTGTTGCCCTCAAACCAAGCACAGCTCAGTTTCAGCTACTTGTTAACTCTGAAAGCTCTCTCCTTAGGGAAAGGGAGGGTCTTATCAGAGCTGAAAAGTGCTTTTGGAAGATAAGGGTGGAGAAAGTTGTAACTGTGTAAGTGGTTCTCTTCAACATAAGTTATCTATATGCTCATGATTGACTGTGAATATGAAATAAAAAACAAGTATTAAGAAAGACAATGAAAGATGAACTATTTTACTTTAAATCTTGATACATCTGTGTAAAATTAGGTGAACTGCAAGCTTCATGAACATTGTTTCTTGAGAGTCAAAAAATAAATAAAAAATAAATAAACGCCAATGTAATCAATAAAACCCAGCTCTCTCGCAAAACAATTTAAGGAAGCTTAAGCAGTAGCAGGCAGGGAACCAGAGATTCAGCTGCTGAAACCACAGCACCTGGTGCCTGGCCTCAGGCTGCCCCTCCGAGGGGAAGGCAGGCTGAGCAAGGTTGCATCTCAGTTCTGTGCCACGCACAGATCCTCTCAGGTCTGACAAGAAAGTGCTATACGTGGTCAGAAGAATGTAACCGAATCACAGCCCTGTATGGAAATGTCTGTCCCTAATTTTAAACAGAAAAAGGATCAACTTCAAATTGCACAGACCATTAAAAACATACAGAGAAAAATATACACCTCTACTACTCATTTGTTTTATTTCAACTTAGAATCAACCTTTCCAAATGTTCATCTGCTATTGTACTTTGACTGCACTTGTAGTGAGGCCTAATACTTCACAATTATTAAAAAAGTAAATAATATAACACCTAATAATTAAATGGAAGATCTAGTCAAGACATGATACCTAAACCCCCTAATTATTTAGGTCAGTGGGTATGGCAAATATCTGCCATAAAGAAAAGGTTCTAGGCTTAGTGATCAAGTGTAAGACAGCACTGGCTTCCACTCTGCGTTTTTACTTTTAAAGAGATTCAGATCATCAGTTCACTCCATTATTCTGAAACAAAACTCAGTATGGAAAGCTGACTTTAAAAAGATCTTTGTAGCAGTATTAAGGGATGCAACCTTGCAGTTCTGACATCCGCAGGCATGAGGTATTTAATTCTCATCTTTCACACGTAAGCCCCTATTATTACATCTCTATAATAGCCAAAGAACTGCAGCCATCAGCTTACCAACTATGGTTATTCAATAAATCAAGAACCTCAGAAGCTGTGCAGGTCTCAGATCATTCAAGTGACTAAAACCAACACCACTTTAATGCCTTTTGCATAATACCTTAAGAACATAAAAGCCAAAGATAAGTTTTCCTTGGTTTTGTCCCCTTTGGCTATGCTGCCTATTGGGACCAGCATTCCCAAAGACTTCAATGAACCTTTTGTCCTCTTGCATTGTCTGACTTCTTTTGTCTGAAGTGCTGTGACAGGAAGAATGGCTGCCTGCATTTTTGACATTCTAGAAACTTACTGGCATCTCTTGTGTTGCAGCACAATAAAGAGACACTAAATACCAAACAGATTTATTTAAAAAGTGGAAAGTCAGCATTACTAGCTTTTTGATGAGGGAGCATAATGCATTGGTGCATCACCAAAGTTTTGATCTCTTATCCTGGGGAAGTATCAAATCCTTACAATGCTCAGCCCAGATTTACTCCATCACCACGAAAATTACAAAGGCTTTTCAGATAAATATTCCAGAGCAACTTGGTTGCTTCAAGCAAGCATTCCTGTTTCATTACATCATTCCACTTGGTCCAGCAATTATGTTATTTCATGCCACATGGGTTTTCATCCAAATTTCAGAAAAACTACTAACAAAACATTTAGTCAAAAACCTGTACTTCATATCTGCTGTCAGTCTCTTTAATGTGCTTCCCACTTTGTCTTGCACAACACAGAAGTTATGGTACCAATACTCCTTCTCTCTGCTCTTTAAGGTTACACTTGTACATTAGCTTTATAATCAT